TTGTTTTAACCATTTTGGAGATTTACTTGCATTGTAAGCGTAAATAAACTTTTGTGAATTTTCGTTTTCTGATGAGATATAAAAGTGGAGGTTCTTTTTGTCTCGGTAATTTAAATCTATATCAAGTTCATATTGATGATGTTCTGGCAAGATTTCCATTAATTTGTAGTGTTGTTGGGGAGCAATAACTGTGTCTGTAGGAACTTTAATTTCAATCATGTCATTACTAGACTCCGCTATTGTTGTTAGAACAAACGGTTTTAAATTAAGTAACCAAGATTTGTCCATTGTGATGCAATGAACTTTATCTTTATTCGTTAGTCTGATTTCCTGTTTCTTAAAATCCAATTCCATGCAGTTTTGGAATAAAAACCAATTTCCCAAGATTACGTCAGTTGCCAAATCTTCAATTACGTAAAAGTCGGTTGGATACACAGTGCCATTAATTGTTATTGGTAGTAAAAGTTTTCCTAATACTTTGACTGGTTGGTCGTTAGCAGCTACAATTAAGGGTAAGTTATCTGTTTGAAAGGATAGGTTATTTACAATTGATGATTTTATTAGGCAATAGTTGCAACCAGTATCTAAGGTAGCTGAATAAGTCTGTCCATTTTCTGGTATATCAATATTTAGTGTCAATGTAGGGAATGTTTTTGTTTGCTTAACATTAAAAATTAAGTCATAAATATCCGATAGTGTGCATTTAGATTGTCTTTTATCACATTTAATTAGGGTTCTCAAATTTAGGTGTTTAGAACTTTGTTGGAAAACTTCTTTGTCGATTTGATTGTGGAGGGTTGTTGCTTCACTAGCTGTTAAACAAACTCCTGCAGTTGATGAATCCACGTGTCTATCCGTAGAGGTTCCTGGAAGTGATGTACTCGTACTGAAGCTGTTGTTGTCATCCGACGTTGAAGGTCGTGAAGAGTTAACAGATGTACGTGCCACATCTTGAGTCTTGGGCTGATCAGCTGTGTGGTGCTGTGACGTCAGTTGCTGAGTCGGTGTTCCTAGGCAGCAGTGGGTCGACGCTTGTAACGTAGGCGTTTGTTGTGGTGTGTTATCCTCTCCATCAGCTGGCTGCAAGGTCGTCTTAGGTTCAGCCGTAGCTGTAGGAATGATGTTGGTCTGGTTCTCGAGTTGTGTGTGTTGAATATTTCTTGATGTTATTGTGGTTGTTGGAGTAAGTGGTTTAGTTATTGGGGTTACTTTAACTTTATGTTTTACACGAAACGAATCCTCAATTGTTGGAAAGTTGTATTGGTAATGAGGGCTTAATGGTGAAAATATATTACATTTTGAATTATTGGATGCTTCTAAGATTGATGATTTGTTGAAATGTGGGAAACGTTTAGTTGTGTTCCAGAAATATCTCGTCTGTGTTTGTTTATTTTGGGAAGCCAAATATCTATTTTGTGGTAGTTGACTTCCTTGCTTTAGAAGTTTTTTGGAAACTGTTCCCTTTTAGCAGGACGCCTAAAGCACTGGTCAATGGTGTGGTTATTTCTTTTGCAATATGCACAAAATTTGGAAGGTGTATTTGAGTATTTTGGATTCCTACGGTTAGCTCTAGCATTGTACCAACAATTTTCTGTGGTGTGATTGTTTATGTTACATATGTGACAAAAGAGTGGAGTGTTTTGTGATCGGTGTGGTGATCTATAATCTAGTCTGGTTCTTGGGATAGGTTGTCTGCTGGAGTGATGTGAATTGTGAGGTGAAGAGCTTCTCGATAAATTTTGTGAGTTTCGAGAAGTGCTTCTGGGCCTATATTTTTCAGCTGACCTGTCATATCTGGGATGAGGGGAAATGTCTCTTCTTTGTGTGGATCTTGAACGATGACAAGTTTCTTTGTGTGGGTTGTCCCTAGGGTAGTTTGTTTCATCAGGTTTGACCTTGAGGCTTAATAATGTATCTTTTATGTCCCTAAGTTCTAATTTTAAGTTGTCTAATTCGTCATTTTCATATGTTACCGACTTTGTTTGAGGTTTTATTAGGGTAACGCGTTCAGCTGAGGTTTGGTATTTTCTCTGATTTTTATTCCTAATAGCTCTTTGAGATTCAATTTTTAGCAGATTTTCGTTTAGCTGTTTAAGTGAGTTGTTTTCCATTCTCACTAGGTCATTACAAATCTCCGGTTTTATTCCCTGAATTACGAATTTTATTATTTTTGCATCATTCATATTGGGATCTATTCTGTGGGAAAGGTGAATGATTTCGTATAGGAATTGCATTGGAGATTCATTTTCTCCTTGTGTTCGATTTTCAAGGACCGTCTGTAAGTCATCAATTAATGCAACTGGGCTGAATGCTTTAATAAATTCAGACTCTAGGTTTGCCCAACTAGTTTCATTGTTTTCATGTTTGTAGAGTGCAAACCATTTATACGGGGTAGACGTTAAGTGTGTGGGGAAAAGTTCAATTTTAGTTTTTTCGGACCAATGGTTGCACCTTGATGAAATATTGAATTTTTGAATAAATTCATGTACATCTTCTGAAGGAAGACCTGAGTATATGCCTGCTTTTATTAGGGGAAGTTTCTCTTTTGACTCATCAGCCATGTTTTTGTTGGTTATATGTGATTTAGGGTGAGATACGATTTGTGTTGATGTGTTAGGGGTTTCTAGTTGGTTGTGATTTTGATGGGTTTCTTGATTTAAGTTTAACAAATTAAAGCTATGTAACAATTGTTCGTGTTCTATTATTGACCTGTTTTCATAAAGGTTTTGTGAATGTTCAGGTTCAGGTTGTGTTAGGTCGTCAGAAGTGTTTATAGTGTCATATGTTGGTTCTTGAAGTATTTTCTTGAATTTTAGCAAATCTCTAAACTGTTCTTTTGTTTTGTTTTCTAGTATGTTGTTAAAGAACAAGTCTGTTAATGCCTCAGCAAAACTAGGATGTCTAAATGCAGTCTTGAAAACATCTTTGGTGAAAGCTAATTTTGTTCTTAGATTGGCTAGGGTTTCGGTTTCAGGGATGGGTGGGAGTTGTATTTTATATTGACAAGCTAGTTGTAAAGCCTCAGTTTTGTTTAAGCTATATATGTTAATGTTAACAATTTCAAAATCTAAATCCATAAATTATCTTTTAAGTTTTAGTAATGTGACAAACCTACATAAGCTATTGTTACATTTGGTGGTTTTATTAAGGTTATGGGCCTAGCTAAGATACGTGTTTTTATTTGAGTTAGTGGCCTATATTGTTTTGTTCATAATCTTTAAGTTTTATCTTAAACTAACACCCTATACATTTTACGATTCGTGAGTCTGATATTAACTTAAGTGACTATAATTGACTATAAATAAACTAAAATAATTCACAAGTCACATAATTTGTTTCAAGATAATTTATTAAAATAAATGTAGGATCGTTACTGTTTAGTTAAAATGCAAAGACAGCCTTCGCCGTGCGGCTGCCTCCACCATGCGAGTCCCATGCCTCACTTTAAGTTTAAGTTTCCTAAATGTTACACTCGCTTAGCTTAGTGAAGAGGTGTTAGGTTAATGAGACATAAGACTGCTTAAGGGTGTTACTCAACGTGTAATGAACAAAAATTTAAATTATGAAAACAACAAAAGTTAAAAGTGTTACAACAGCAAAAGAAAACTTTGAAAATGCAAAAAACAACAATAATAAGATAAATTAATTTGCAACGTTAAATTTACAAGAAAAGAAAATCAATTGAAAATATAAAAGAATTAGTTACTGACAAATTATATGACTTTTATGTTTGACAAAGTGTTAGTTAGATATTTTATTCTTTCTACATACTGTCTATTGTCCCAGAAGCACACACACCGATACACGCACTCCCAAACTCCCGATCTTCTTTCTCCGGTGGCCCGTGGTGATCTCCCCGATGTTTTCCTTCAGATCCTCCAGCTCCAAGAGTCTTGACCCCTCCATCTTCATCATTAGCCCTTCTCATTGGCTGATTACCGATAGGGTGTGTGGCTAATAGGTTAACGGTGTTTCTTGGAAGTCAGCCCTACCGGTCATCGCCTAGCTCACATCAGCTGGGAAAGGAATTTGTAAATTGATGCTCATGCTACTGTTCAACTCTGTTCACACCAACTGGTCGACTAAGTGTAATGTGAACAGAGTGTCTGCATAGATGAGCACCGTGGGTACGGGGTTAATCCCCTTTCTTACAATATATATATGTCTATATATATATACATATATAAAAATTTGAACGAATGGTGTTTTTGGCCTCTGGGGACATCAAAATGAAAAAGTAAATCGGTCCCGGGTCTAGGTCTTACCGTGCCACCTACGGTAATAGCTACTTCCCTATAGGGAAATTCGCTAATAGCTACTTCCCTATAGGGAAATTCGCTAAAAATAATAGTGCTGCAACCTATTAACTTTTTAATGCTATTGAACAGCACAAAATCAAATTGTTTATTTGAACCAGCTGTTAAGATTCTTTAATTCCATTTAAATATGAGTACTCATAAGGTTAACATGGGAAACTCCAGAGCCACTGGGGCGGATCCCTTTTGACGGATCTGCACCAAACTTCACACAAACCATCCTTGAATAATGCTTAATAATGCCTGCAAGTTTCATTACAATCTGTCGAGCGGTTTTGGAGTCCATAAAGGACAAACAAACAAACAAAGAAACAAACAAACATACATTGGATTTTATATATAAAGATTATTTATTAACGCAGATCTTTTAGCAATTTAAACATTTATTATTTTCTCTATTTGAACTTTTTTTAAACACCAGTATGTAATCCAATGCCACATCTACAATTAAGACCTTGCCTTATAAAAACACTCTCAATCATTTTTCTATCTTAAAAAAGGGGGTTGCCATCAATTTAAGGAACAGAAAACTGAGGACAAGGAAACAGTTAGACTCAGCCCTAAATTAATATTATTTTGTCTGTTAGATAGAATGGCACACAATTAGTTACTAAGGTGACGCTCGCTCAATTACAAATTCTCTTGTGGCCAACAAACACTTTACTTATGTTATGCATGTTGTAGACTGATGAGGTATCAGTGGACGTGAAGCACATAGATAGCACAGACAGTGAGAGCGGTGTGGTGGTGAATGAGGACGGCGCTAGTGAGGAGTTGACTAATGGAGCGGCCACTAGTGTGGAGCAGACCAATGGAGTGGCCACTAGTGTGGAGCAGACTAATGGAGTGGCCACTAGTGTGGAGCAGCAGCAGCAGACTAATGGAGTATTCAGTAGTGAGGTGGATGGAGGAGTGTCTAGACCTAGCCTCACTCTGCCCTCTAAACTGGACCTCAAGACCATAGACTGGGATGAGCTGGATGAGCTGTTACAAGTATGCCTTTGTCTTAATAACATTTTTACATAGCCTAATTGGTTTGAAGTAGACTAGTGATGTTTATATTATTTTACTACACTATTCACTCCTATTATTTTTTCAATAATCTGATATTCCATGGTCACATATACTACAAACTTAGTCTTTCTTTTTGAGGATGGGGGTGTTACAACAGCTTCTTAGACAGAAATTTGTGACTAAGTGCTCACGTGTTGGCCTTGTTACAGACACGTGACATCATGGGCTGTTCTATAGAACATAGGTGTCAGGTGCTGCTGCTGGCGTATGCTACGAGAACACAGATCAACATGAGTCAAATGATATTTTAGTTCAAGCATAAAAAATTAGTTATCAGATGAATGATTGAAGGTTATGAAAGAAAAAGTCATGCACAGTAAAAGTAAAATATTTATTTGTTAGCCTATATTCAAAACACGATTGCAGGTGGAGCGTAAAGTAGACGATGGCCAGAAGCTGTATCAGACGATGCCAGCGAGTGTGTTGACAACGTTGTCATGCACTCCCCCTCCCTCTCCGTCAGACCAGGATGAATACTCTCAGACATTTGAGGACACTGTGGAGGAGGAGCGTGCTGCGGGAGTAAACCGCTCAGAGAGTGTGCCGGAGTCGTTTGAACTGAGCAGTGAAGAGGATGAGGCAGTGGGTAACAGTGAGGGGTCAGTGGTGAGACGCAGAGTTGGCTCTACAGCTATCAAGCGACGTGCAGGCCACCGACGCTCTCGCAATGCCAAGTTGAGGCGCAGGTAACTTGAAATCCTGTCTGCAATCTGCATGGTAATAAGAATAATGATTTCTTAATTGTGCAGTGTTAATCTAGTGATACCGTAACTGTTAAAACAAAACATAATTTTTTGTTTTGTTGTTTTTATTTCTCTTATACATAAGACACTCAATACTCCAAAGGCTGGTCTTAGAATTTGAAACTGTTGTTGTTGAAGGGTCTTTGTTTTTTTATTCAAGGACTAGCAGAGAACCCGTCCTTCGTACGGGGTTGGCATCAAGAATAAAATGCTTATTGCAGTTATACTCAAGTTTTGCGTTTGCAATGGGGGAAGACACAATTTGATAAAATTTGCTTCTTTAAATTTACGGTATAGGTACTGTAGTACTACACATCTACCATAGCCATAATGTTCTACCACTTCTCCTAAACAATAGAGAAAAATTAACTATTAAAAAACCACAAAATATCACATATCATTCATGAAATTAAAAACATAAACATGCCTGTAAACAATCCTATTTTGACCGTTCTCATTGCGTATCACAGTTTTTTGTCGATGCTTAATTCAAATTAGCTGTTTTCATAAATGCAAAAAAATAATAGTGCTGCACCCTGTTGGTAGATCTTAAAACTAGATCTTAATGCTTTTGCATATCATAGAACCAACTTTTAACTTTTTAGTTGAAACACAGCTGACTAAATTCTTTAATTCCCTTTAAATATGAATACTCATAAGGTTAATATGGAGAGCTAAAGAGCCACTGGGGCGGAGCCCGAAAGGATTTTTGAGATAAGAATATGCCTATATGTTAATCGGGAATGTAAGCTATCATCATGCCAAATTTCAGCCCAATCCGCCCAGTTGTTAAAGCGTGATTGAACTTCAAACAAACAAATAAACAAACAAACGCACAAACTTTCACATTTATAATATTAGTTAGATTCAGTAATGTTGTTTTTCTTTGTTTAACCTTTTCAAGATACCACTACCAAACTCAACTATATACACACTGTCTAGAAATTTAAACTGGCATGACTTTACAAATTCTGAAGCTGAGAACATTGATAGGCGTATTACCTGTTTTTAACACATTCACTGCTGTGCCATTAATTATTGTGTGGAGATTAGGGACCACTTTTTAATGGTAATTAAATCCTACCCAACAGCAGGGCCACTGTATACAGTGAATTGATAGTGGCTTTAGTAAAATGTAAAAACCAACAGCATCTCCCAATGCACATCTTGATGGTTTGATCCTGACAAGAGTTTAAAACACTTTTTGATGGTTCAAAACTGAACCAAACTGCTATACCAGCTGATCAGCTGGTGTTTATTTTCTAATGTTTGTGTATGTTTGTAATTTACAGTTTAGTTTTCTGTTCACCTTTAATAAAATGAGTTACTTAAATTATTAGAATCTATTCTTTTATTTAAACACAACAAATGGCGACGAGTGATGAAAGAAATGATATCAGAAGACTGAAACATAAAAGAGGAGCACTAAAAGGCCAGATTACAAGAACTCTACACCTATTAAAAAGCAAGGGTTCATCAGTCAATGATGCTCCTGGCAGATTAACTGTAGCAGAGGAAGCTTGGCATAAATTCATCTCACTACACGAAGATATTTTACAAATAGAAGATGAAGATGATTTTGAACAAGAAGAAGATTACAGGGCTGATGTAGAAGAGGTATATTTAGAGATAAGAGCATTGTTACAGCCATTCTTTATACCGAACAAATCTACAGATGAACACACAACTTCTATATCAGTTGAACACGATAGCCATGTACCTAACATTAACTTTACACCTTACACAGAGAACGAGACATTTAAAAAACTTCTTGATGAGACTTGAAAACTATTTTCAGTTAAAGAAAATTACAGATGAAAAGACCAAGACATGTTTGTTTGTCAGTACACTTTCTCCAGAGATGCACCAAACATTGTGTGATACATTAGCTCCTGAGTTACCAGGTGACAAAACCTTCAATGAACTCACAGAATCTTTGAAAAATTGTCTTGAGCCTTCACCTAGCATACTAGCTAACCAACATAAATTTGTTTGCAAGGTTCAAGAACCTGGAGAGAACATAGCCGTATATGCCAGAGAACTTAAACGTTTAGCAACGGACTGTGATTGTTATTGTTATAACTGTGAAAGTACGGTAAGTGATATGTTCTTAAAAATGCAGTTCATACAGGGGTTAAAAGACAATGAAATTAGAATTAGACTTCTTCAAGAAAAAGATGGTAAAATTTCTTACAACGAAGTGGTACAAACTGCGATTTCCATAGAACAATCTAAATCTGAAAGTTATGAAATTAACCGGAGAAATGGAAATTCAATTCTAAAAGAAACTAAATAAAAGAAACGTCTTATAACACTTAAAACATATATTTACGCTTATACTGTTACTCACAAGTCGGTAAATATACAAAACAGATGGTAAGTGGTGATCGATTTCGATTGGACACTCCAATCATCATCAGACCCAATAGGCGAATGACAAGAATCTTAATGGTGTCCCTACTTATACCCTATTGGCTACCGGAAGCACCGGCCAATACATTTTTATAAGTACAACTGGAATCAAAATGTATTTGTTCATTAATCAACTTATTTCTATTTTTACATTTTTCCTTATAAATATACAATTCTTCCCAAGCATTCATTACATATCCTTTCTTACAATTTTTTAAAATATCTAGACTATCCTCAATTTTTCCTAGTGAGTGGCCATTTTGTAACAGGTGTTGTGCGACATTTGATCTTTCCGGTTTGTTGTTCCTCCACGCAGATATGTGGTTTTTGAAGCGGTTAACGAAGTTCACAGTCTGTCCAATGTAGAAGTTATCACAATCGTTACAATTAATTTTGTAGATGCCCGAAGCGTCGAATTTGTTGAAATCTTCTATTTTCGGATGCAGTATTTTACTCATGGTGTTCTGAGTCCTGTAGGCTATTGAAACTCCGTATTTCTTGAATCTGTTAGCAGTCCTTTGTGTCGTAGTCCCCGTGTAGCTAAATGTGATATATCTGGTGTTTTCCTCTTTTATCTCTTCTAATGTTGTTCTGCTGTGTAGTGTATTCTGCCTATCGATTTTCCTCCTCGTCTTCCTTGCGATGTCCTCTATCGTCTTGGTTCGAAATCCATTAACTTGAGCGATCTTCTTAATGGTGTCCAGTTCTTTCTTCCTATTAGCTTGGCTAAGTGGGATCTTATAGGCACGGTACAGCATAGATCTAAAGGCTGCGGTCTTGTGGATTGTCGGATGGATAGACTTCCTGTTGATTGTAGTGTCCGTTTGCGTAGGTTTCCTGTAGATGTCAAACTCTATCTTGCTGTCTTTTCTCTCTAATGTGAGGTCCAGGAAGTTGATCTTTTTGTTTTCTTCAAACTCGTTGGTAAAGGTGAGGTTTGGGTGGTGGCTGTTTAGTGTCTGCATCATCGTTTCGTGCTCTTGATCCTGGGCTTGTCTGAAGATAACAAGAATGTCGTCTACATATCTAACATACAGTTTTACATCATGATTCTTTCTTAAATTCTTTAACATTTCTTTTTCCTGATGCTGTAAAAATATTTCTGACAAAATTGCCGAAAGTGGACTTCCCATAGCTAAACCATCTGTTTGTTCGTAAAATCTATTGTTAAATCTAAAATAATTTTGTTTCAAAACAGTCACAAGCAATTTTACAATCTGATTGACATATTCATCGTCTAAACTATTCTGTAAAAGCCTACATTTAACAAGATCTACAGTTTCAGATACAGGTATGTTGGTGTACAGATTTGCGATATCAAATGAGACTAGCCTACTTTTCGAATTTATATCTATGTTCTTTACACGTTCAACAAATTCATATAACATTAACCGCCTACAATCTGGATACAAAGACAAACAAAGTCAATTTAAGGGAAACAAAACCATAGTTTCATTTGAAGATTTAAGAGGCAAGTGTTACAGGTGTGGCAGTGAACAGCACAAGGCTAATTTATGCAGATTTAAGAACGAATTCTGTAGGAAATGTAATAAAATTGGACATATTTCAAGGGTTTGCTTATCTAGAAGTGGAACTGATGTAAGAACTGGGAAAACAAGGAATTGAAATCAAACTTAATTGATATTGAGGACAACCATTCATCGATCCACGAGGTTTATACAATGGGATCAACTTCATCTGGAAGTTATAAGTTTTTAATAGTGTGGACATTGAGGGAAAGAAGCTGAAGATGGAACTTGATACAGGAGCAGCGTTAAGCTCAATACCTTACAGCGATTTTCAATCACTACATGTAAATAAACGTCTTTTCAAAACCGCTGTTGAAATGAAAACATATACTGGTGAAATCATCAAGCCTCTTGGAGTTTGTTTTGTCGATTGTAAATACAGAGATTTTAATTTCTACGGAAAGCTGTATGTCCTGAGACAAAAGGTTGAGCCAATATTTGGAAGAGAGTGGCTGAGAGAAGTAAAAATGGATTGGGCAGATATCAAAGTGGTTGAAAGTGATTGTTCAGAAAAATTTGACAAACTATTGACAGAGTTTCAAGAAATTTTCACTCCCGGAATCGGAAAAATTACATCAGATCAAGGTCACATAGAGTTAAAAGAAGGAGCTAGACCTATCTATATCATTAATACGCTACATGAAACTTTGTCGGTTGAACTCCTCCACCATTTCTTAACCGATTTTATCCATTGACGTCTCATTGGAAAGAGCATGCCGCGTAGATTTGCAAACTGGCCTTTTATTTTTGAAAAAGTCCCATAGGCTCTGCCCCAGTGGCTTTGAAAGTTCCCATGTTATCCTTATGAAGAACATAATTGTTTACATTTTGATCAGCTGTATAATTTAACTGCTGTTATTTATTTTTCAATTTAATGAAACGCATTGAGTACGTTTATTCACTATTTGAGTTTGTTTAAACATAACCCCCAAGACGAATCGTGTTAGTATGGTTGTATCTTAAATTTGTGTATTTATCGTTGTTTTGTGTCGCTATGACGGA